GGCTGACACCATGCATGTCTGGTCTTGCTGCAATTAGTCACGTTAATTAAATTATTTCTTTTACTGTCCTTCTTGCATGCTTTCAAATTCTTTTTATTTTATTGAAATATGTAAACAAAGAAGTTAAACCAGTTTTTGATCATTTTTCAAAAAAAGGTCACATACTTTCCTATTGTTTACATTGGTTTTAAAGAACCAAAATTAGGCATAATTAATAATTTCTTAAATTCGGTAACTTTGTTGATATTTGAAGGATGAAAATGATCTTGGTATCAATAATTTAATGCTACATTAATGCTCTTTCGAGTGGTACTGGCTGCAAAGGAATTCCTGGCATTTGAAATTTTTTATCACATACCTAAAATTTATAGATATTAAACAAATATCGGCAGATGACCATGTTCTAAAAACTGGCCAAATCGACAAAACTCGGCCCCAATAATCAGTGTATTTTACGAACCAGTTCAAGCTAATATTACAACTCAACTGGCTAATTATTAGATTACACTACAATTATTACAATTATACCGATAATTATAAATTTAACAATAAGAGAGTGTACTGTCTGTATTGTGCATGCATCACCAGCGTTCCATACACATACACATATTAGCCGCCATTTTCGCTGGCAGCCGCTTTCACTCGCGGCCGCTTCGGGCCCAATTCCTCCTCCTAGTCCTATGCCTAGGTTTGTGATACCATCTAGGATAAGCCTATCTATCCTATCCTATTTTTACCTAGATCTAAGCCAATCCTACCTTGTTTGTGATACAATCTAGGATAAGCCTATCCTATCCTATTTTTACCTAGATCTAAGCCTATCCTAACTAGCCCTAGGCCTATACTACTAGGCCATAATTGTCTCCTCCCTAGCCTTCCACTAGGCCTAGCCTTCCACCAGCCTAGGCTAGTCTTATATTATTATTAGGACTATGAAAAGCTCCCTCTCTATTCTATCTGCTGGCTCGATTGACCTAAACCTAAAGCAAAACCAGAGACTAGCCTCCTTCCTAGGCCTAGCCTAGATACCATATTAGTATTATTTATCTTTCAATTACATTAATTTCACAAAATCCTAGGCCTACCTAGGGCCTACCTCTTCTCGTATTCGTTATCGTACCAATCTGTTATCTCTTTGATCGTACGCAGCTCTAGCCTCTCTCTACCTCGTACCTTATTGAGGGCAGCATAGCACGGTTACTGCTTTTGTTGTGTTGAATTCCTGCATTAATACTATACATATACACCATTTGGAAAAATCCCCAGATGAATCATGGACCAGCTATATATATCCATGATTCGATCGAAGAATTCCCAAAGTAGCCTTAAAGATCCAAAGATTGATAAAATATCAGTATTATATAAAACTTCATTTACATTTTTTATGAGTAATTTATTTTATTTTTTAATAGTTTCTCATTTGTATATTTTAATGCTGTTTTAATGTCTAGTTATAGACCTAGTTTTTAATATATTTCATACAAAAGGCATCCTGGTAGCGTCAAATAATAAAAAGAGTTTTTTCAATAGGTATTCATCATACAAAAATATCCATAGCAGTAGAAAACCCCAATTGTTACTCTCGAAAATTTAAACAATAAATTTCAAGATCCAAGGTTTCATTAAAATCCCATTCTTAGGATTTCAAATTGCCTGGTATACTTGCGTTTCACAAACCATTATATTTGTTGCATCACTTAAAATGTCATGTACCTATCCGCCATCTTCGTTCATCTTCAAAAAATCTTTTGACAGTTCCATCTCCTCGAAACATGTTTACCAATTACCAAAACATATGGTCAACGTGCTTTTTCTGTTCAAGCTCCTTCTCTGTGGAATTCTCTTCCTTTTTCTGTTCGTAATTCGCCTAATTTATATTCTTTTAAGAAGAACTTAAAGTTTCACCTTTTTGAGAATTGTTACTGAGTTTGTTTTCTCCTGCGCCTTTGATAAATTTTTGAATTGGCGCTATATAAATGTTTATTATTATTATAATTAATCCCCGACCGGGCCTCAAGTACTTGTATGGGCCTATAATAAGTCAAATGATAAACTCTAAACAAGACAAATAAAAAAATATATATATTTGGTTTTAAAAATACAGAATCTTAAAAAGATTCAAAGGGTGAGGTAGACCCAACCCCCACCTCAACCCTAAAAATAAATGGTTGCTGTTACACATAATAAAAAAACACACACATAAATTATTCTAAAACTGTTGGTATGTAATAAATTCCACGCCTCCTCATATTTGGTCGCACATTTTAATACTGCTAGGTACGCCACTGCACACACACACCATCAATCTTTCATACCTTAATTTTGGATTGCTCAGTAAATATCCAATAAGTTCTTTCAAACGTAGTCAACAAGATTCGTCGGTTGTCCGAATTCGCACTTTTTATAAATTGCTGTCTGTTGCACTTCATAATAACTTTTCACACTTTGTAATAACATGTCGCACATTGAGGACGATTTGTTCCACATGTGTTCCACATTGCAAATGCGGCCCGCCAAAGATTTTGATCTGGCCCGCGAAACATTGCTAACAAAAAATCATTTTCCGGCCGATTTTTAGAAAAGGTTTTTCTGTTTAGAGCAAAACCACATAGGCACCCCTACTCTCTAGCAATGTTTACAAGAGTGTGGCTTTTTCTGAGTGTTGCTCATTGTATCTAGTGGTACTGGCATGTGGAGGGGTAATGGGGACAATGGATTAAGCGGGGCAGACACTGATGATGCGATGTCTAACCATTTGCAGCACCTGCAGGTTCTTGGTATGTTATTCTGTTGAAAACACTGCTCTGAAAACTTATTTTTTAGTCTGAAAGTGCAATTTCCAGAAAAGTAGAGAGGTATCTATGTTAAAAATGTGCTCACCTCAATCCCAAACACTGGTGAGTTGATATTTTCGTGGTAGGGAAATTTCTAGTGGCAGGGTAGGAGAACCTGGAGTGCAGGGGTTTTTTTTCAAAATTCTTAAAGAAAGAAAAGGGAAGAAAAAAAAATTAAATTCAAATTTAAATGAGAGTGACATTTCCGACCATCTAGGTGCCATAATCATACATTTTCTTGCTTCAGTCCCAACCATGGTGGGGCTGAGGTGGTATTTACCCCTATCTGTGAAGGTTGTTCCCTGGCCCATTATATTTCGAATTCACCGCTATAAAAGAAAATGGAAGTACGCAATTTATGTCGGTTCGACACTGGTCTCAACAAATCGGAACTGGCTCCCAGCTTAAAAAGGTTGAATACCAAGGGTCTAATGCATGTCGCACTTGTGCTTAATTGAGCTGTCACACTGTAATAATTTGTTTATATTTTGTAATAACATTTTGAATTAAAAAAATGTCGTAGTTGTTGCAAACACGAATTGAGGGCCTGTGTTTCATACTTCCAAACAGCGTGTAGCTAGTTCTAACTATTTAAGGTCACCTATTTGTCGCACTTTGTAATAATTAAAGCAGAGGTGGCGCCAGGAATCCCGAGAGGGGGTTTAAGGTCCCCGACGAGAGAAAAGTGAGCGTGGTTGGGCGTCGCTCAATATAATTTTTTCCCTCCCATACGATTTTCTAGTTTTTCTCCTCGACGTGGGGAGGGGATCGAGAGGCAGCTCTCTCCGACGGAGCCCTGGCCCCTGGAACCCCACGGACACCCACTGGCGCCACCCCTGTAATAAAGTGTTAGTTTCTTGAATTTTGAAAAAAATACGGTTGGACATTGTACAAACATGTCAACTGTTCGTATATTGTTAACATGTCACTCTTTCTAACAACACAACTACACGTCTGGAACAATATTTTCATCAACTGTGCTTTACAAATAACAATTTCAAATACATTTTTTTCATATTGATTTTATTTATTTGCTCATAAGCTTAAATAACAAAGATTAACCGTTATTACAAAAAAATAGCTTTCAGTCAATCAATCAACATTATGGTGGAAACATACAGGTTTAGAGTAGAGACCATTCAGTTTCTCAATATTACAAGACGCTAATACTAATAGTATAGAGAATTGGTTTCCATAAAATCGCTGCATGCTGTCGCCGACAGCTTTTGGCGACGCTAATTGATTAGTCGCAGTAAAAACGCTGATTGGAAATCAGGAGATTATATGATGATTAAACAAAGTTAATGTGCACATGACGTAACGAGGACACAGGCTGACTCAGACGCAGACTCTTCCACATTCTCTAACCTAAAAACGAAAAACAATTGTAGAAATTAACAAATGAACTGCTTACAGTACCTTACTTACACACGTCTGAACGAATTTGGAAAGAGTAGTTTATAACTTTGCATTTGTCCAGAACAATGTTCCAAGGTTTGTGATTAGGCTAACCCGGTAATGAGTAACCACTGTAGCAACCAATTTGTTTGGGTAATACACGAGAAAAACAACTTTGGCTCAGAGTAAGAACAGGAATACATTCAAGGGAGAAAATTCGCCACTCAGTGCACACGTAAATAAAGTCATTCTCTGACCACACTATCAAGTTTTTGACAAATTTGTTTGATATTTATGCCCATAAATTGTCGTGATGATATCATATACACCCAAAATAAGTGCATACTTTCTTCTTCCGTTAAGTTGCCGCCTTAATCTGTCTGCAGGTGGTGATCAGGCAGTACACCGGGAGACAATACCCTACTCTTTTCCGAATACTGTACTGCGTTCTTTAAAAGAGAACTAGCAAAATGATTTTTTGTTCTAGAGTGGATTTTTGATATGCCATTAATAATAGAATCAACATTAAAATCGTTCTTTGGCTATTTTTTATGAAGTTATAGGCGATTATATACGATTTTACCATAACGTCACGTCATGACGTCATTGACGAAAAACTAACAAAAGATCGTGTAAATAGCGCCGCGTAGGGTATCCGCCGCGAACGATCTTTGCGTACTGTAACAATCACAATTTACAGCCAGGTTACAGCATACACGCAAAAAAAAAAAAAACAAAAACAAAAAAAAAAACCTGGCTCGTGTGGGAATCGAACCCACGGCCTTAAAAAAAAAAAAAAAAATTTAAAAATTTAAATAAATAAAAAAATTTAAAAAAAATCGAACCCACGATCGCTGAGTTTACTACTCCTGAATCAGCATGACTAAACGGAGGGAGGTAAACCGCGGTCCCTAAGCCATAAATGCGATAAACCTAGTACCACACCAAGTACCAGTTAGTCAACTCTGATCCTACTAGAAAAAATTCTTGGTATATATACACTGCAGGTTAATATTATGCATGGTCATGGTGTCAAAAATGGGCCGTGGGCCAAGAGGGTTGATTTTTTTGTCTAAAAATGTAGAATTAAATTTATAATCGATTTTTGATTGTTACCATCTCCATAACTTACGCACTTTTTTTTAAATAGACAAAAATTTTTTGAAAAATTCATTATGCAAATTAGAAGAAAAATAGACTAATCGAGTGTCGGTGGTTGTGTGTTCAATTCCCACACGAACCAATTTTTTTTTAAA